CAGCTATCACAGAGGGGTGTGCAGGCTAGAGATCTGGGATGGACCAGAGTAACTGATTCAAGTGTCTGCCATTGATGTAAGTTGCTGTCAAGGTGATTCTCATGGTGACCCCGTGTGTGTCAGAGTAGAACCCCATGAGGTTTTCAAGGTTGTGACCTCTGAGGGCTGTCTCTGGAGGCACCCACCTTTTGGCTAGTAGTCAAGTGTTTAACCATTTGTGCCACCCGGGACTAATCGTGATACCTCAATTGGCCTCTCACAGCTTGGGGTAAGAAGACCTCCCAGGATGCTCAGCGATCCTAGAACTGCTTGTTTGACTCCATCCAACAGCGAGTCAGCAGCCTCTCTTCCAGCAGGATGAGGACTCCAATAGTGTGGATGGAGGAAGAATGGGACGACCTCACTTAAAGCCTCATGTTGTTAGGTGCCATTGAGTTGGTTCTGACTCATAGCAACCCCATCCTCAACAGAACAAAACACTGCCCGGTCCTGCCCTGCCCTCACAATCCTTGCTGTGCTCAGCCCACTGTTACAGCCACTGGGTCAATCTATCTCACTGAGGGTCTTCCTCTTTTTTGCTGACCCTCTATTTCACCAAGCAGTCCTTCTCCAGAGACTGGTCCCTCCTGATAACATGTCCAAAGTATGTAAGACAAAGTCGTGCTGTCTTCATGAACTTAAATGATTGTGTATCTGTGTACTGTTAACAGCCAATCACAACTCAGGGTAAAGTTATGGACCACTGCTATGTGCCAGGCACCAGGTTAACCACTTTACATGGGTGACCACTTCTCATCCTCCCCAAACCCTTTATGATCCCATTTTACACATTGGGAAACTGAGTTTCAGAGGCTAAGAAATAAGATTACAGGGACCTAAGCGTCTGAGTCAGAACTTGAAATTGGGTCTTTTGGGCCCCAGAGATGGAGTTAAACCCAGCCCCAAACCCATTGTTGTTAAGTCAATTCCAATGCACAACAACCCTATAGGACAGAGTAGAACTGCCCCATAGGGTTTGCAAGGCTGTAATCTTTACAGAAGTAGACTATCCTAGCTTTCTCTGGTGGAGAACCTGGTGGGTTTGAACCGCTGGGCTTTTGATTAGAAGCTGAGCCCTTAACCACTGCATCATGAGAGCTCCTTACTGGGACATCGCTTAATTGCTATTAAGCATGTTGCTTAATATCTACCAGGATCCTCCATATGGGATGTGTCCAAGGTGCTGTTGGGTCTGGCCTGATCTTTCATCCTTAGGAAAGGAAGTGCGTTCCCAGTGGCATCTGCCAAACATGGTGGCCTTACCACTCCAGGTCTGCATGTGGTATTAAGATGCAGTGCAATTCTGTTGGGTTCCAAGTGATGGACACAGGCCACACTATGAGCAGAGAGGCACAGCCCAGCCAACCATTAGTCCTGCAAGGACTAACACTGTCATGTAACCCACGGATATTTCCAACGCCACATAATCAGACAGTATTTTTGAAGTGATTCAAAATTCGTGACTGTTAATAAATGCAGGTACTGAGGGTGGGCTAGGCAATGAGGCCATTTTCCTAACACTGTGTGGTGACCATTAGCTGGTGCCCAGGAGGGGCCAGGCAGGAATGGAAGAACCTCAGAGGCACACTGATACCTGCAGGCGAGGCCTCTAAATTCACCACGGAGGGCAAGCAAGACACGGAATGAAAAAACCGTTGTTACCGTTGTTGTTAGCTGCCGTCGGGTCGAGTCCAACGCGCAGCGACCCCGGATGCACGGAGTCGAACCCCCGTAGGGTTTTCAAGCTGTGATCTTACAGACGCAGATCACCAAGCAGATTCCCTCAGGATGGGATCAAATGGCTGACCTGCTGGCTAGTAGTCAGTCACGCCCTTAGCTGTTTGTGCCACCCAGCCACCTAAAACTTGTGTTGCAAAAGCCGATCCAACCCTAGAACCGGGTAGAAACTCCTAGACCCTCTTGAAAGTCATCCCCACACTCAGCAAAGGAAGTAGATAGAATAAACACAACCCATAAAAAAGAAACAAAACCATCCACAAAAAGTCCCCAAACGTTTGATTGTATAAATAATTTATTTCTGTTCACAGCATCATGTATGCGTTATAAAAGGGAATGGAAAGCCAGGGGAAGGATAGTCAGGACAGAAGATTCCAGCAGGAGAAATGAAATGTGACACCAGAAGACCACGTCCCAACACCGTGACACAAAGTTGGGGAAGAGAATTCTTCTGAAACAAAACTGGCCTCCCCGTGTCTACCAGAAATCATTCAGAAGGCTCACTCGGGGAGGCTGCCTTCCTCTCCATGAACCCATTCATCCTCCAAAGAGCAGAAGGCAGAACACATCACTGGTTGGAATGTGGGGGAGGGAGCCTCCCCCCGGTGACCACACCAAGGCGGTCCTCGCTGTGCTTCCTGTCTGGTCAGACGCAATGGGTCAAACGTGACAGAAACCAACGGAAACTGGACTATTCGTTGATACACCACAGGGGTTTACTTTACGGCACGATTACTAACGGCTGACTGCACCCTTAAGTATTGATAATGCAGAACACAAGACCAAGTTGCCTCATTGGAGAAGCATAACGGGATTTGAACAGTGATCTTGAACCTTAAGTCTTATTAGCACGAGAAGGTGACAGTTTTTGGCATCTGCAATCTCACAAAATAAACACATTCTCCCAAGAGTGTGGAACTGACAAAACGTCAAAGTGCTTACAAAATTGTTGCATGTGAAGGGAATAAAGGAAGATGGGTTTGTTCTATTCTGCTCTGTTTCATAATCCTATGCAGAGTCCTGATGATGGGACCAGCCCATGGGAAGTCAGTGGACACACAGGTGATATGTAAACTGAAACCCTGCACTTCTCAACACTACTGAGTTGGACTTTTCTCTACTGAGTTTCTACAAAAAGACCAGCATCAGAGGGGGACCAAACACAACAAGGAAAGATCCAAGGAATGTGGGTTGTCAGGGTTCTTCTTTGAAAATATTTCATGTAAGAACTGGGCTTCAAGCAGAAAACCAGAACTATTTCTGGTTCTGAAATGAACTTGGGGCGTGCAGTGGACAATAGGTATGGATTGATCATTTAACTGACTCACGTGCTCACGCATGGTCATGTCCCATTTCCATAGGCCTCCTTTGTAAGAAACACGTAACAGTGTGTGTGTGTGTGTGTGTGTGTGTAGGGGGGATGCCATAATTCTACCAGGAAGCATGGATTCAGAGAGGAAATCCAAACCAAACTGTAAGTGTAAGTTTCCCTTTTGATTCTGTAGGTCAGGCAAATGAGAGGTCTGCACACCCAGACCCAGTCCTGATTCTAAAGGATTTCTTCAAATTACATTATTAAAAATATGTATTTATTCTTCTTTCACTTGATCTATTTGCCAAAGCCCTGTCAAGTAAACTGAGCAGTGCCTGAGTCCTGGCGACCATGACATCACAGGCGTTCTTTGACCTCAAGCACTCAGTGTTGTTTGCAATTGGCCAAAGTGCTGGTTGGCTCGCAGGCAGACCAGATCACCCAGGAATGGATCGGGGACGACCCACCTCACCCTTGTGCTTTTCCTCTGCTTTTTAATCCATGCAAAGAGGTCGCCTTTTGCAATAAGGAGGAGTTTTATTTATTTATTTATTTTGGTGCATGACAGCAAATACTCTGAGACATTTTGAATGAAATACTTAAACCAGAAAGGCCACAATGAACCAAATTAGGAATTCAAACATGTTGCCACTTGCAGAGCTAAGGGATCTAACAGAGCACAGTAAGGTCTTTTTTCTAAGGTGAGTATTTCTAAGGTGAATATCCATTTGTAAAAGTTTTTTTTTTTTTTCCAAACATGTCTGAAAACCCATCATCATGCGGTGGGCATGACAAGAGACATCCCTTGCAAAAGCCCCCTTGCAGCTCAGCACACATTTGCAGCTGGTGTACTCGTACAAACCAATCAGCAGGCTAAGTGAATGTAAAATGCCACCCATATGGGTCTAGGTTTTATGCCCATTCCACAGTGGGGAGGGGGAAGGGAGGGCCCTGTATCCACACACACCCCATCCAGCATTGACGCCAAGAGCCGTACCCTTTAAACACCTTTCACTACCCTGCAGACAGTAAATGCATCCTAGCCACCACCTCCAATGGTTCCTTTGCTGTTGTCATTCTCCACTGTCATGGATTTCTTTGTGTGATAATGACCTACACATGGACAGGTCCAATCATACGGAGGATGTCTGATTCCAGGCTGAAAAGCAGTTGTCACACACTGGTCTTCTGTAGCTACCACAAAGCACCAGGAAAGGGGCATCGCTGTTGGCCAGGCGGCCATCCCCCAGCCCAGGCCCGTGCGGGCATCGGTGCCTCTGGCAGCCGCGTTCATTTGTACTAGACTGTCCCATGGCCCAAACCACCGCCAGCGCCTCTGGGCCGAGAGCAGGACCAACGGAATTGCAACAGGGGCCTGCCCTGTGACATAAAATTATCCACAGCCCGGGAACGCAAGGCGCCGCTGTCCCCCAGCACCACCCAGCGCCGCCATGCTCCCCAGATGGGTACCCCAGAGGGTTCCAGGAACAGCATACCTCAGGTGAAGCTCAGGTACAATCCCCCACGTGGGGGCGGGGCGGCCTGAACTTCTGGCCCTGCGGGGGGGTCGGCGGCTGTCGCTTTTGTCTCTGGCTTCTGAGCCTGAGGTGGCAGGGGCAAGCAGCAGGGCCCGAGCTCCATTCCCCACCGGGGTCCCCGCCGTTCCTGCCGCGGGCTCCCGCACCCCATCGGAAGCTCTGGCCTTCAGACAAAAGGTCCCCAGGGCTGGTAGTGGGGGTAGGCCTGCGCGTCAGCCTTCAGGGCCGGGCTAGAGCCACCAGTGCTGCCTCTAGGTGCAGAGATCCCGTTTGGAAAATTGGAAGCATCGCTTTGGTTCGCTGTCTTTGTTCGCGGGCGCGGGTTCTCGGCTCCCCCCCTCCCCAACGCATCCATTCATTCATTCCTGACTCACTGGCTCCCCCCTCGCTCCCGGGAGCCGCCGTGGGCGCTTTACCGCTTCTTCTTCTGCTTGAGGGACTTCCGGCGTTTCAGGATCATCTCGTAGAGCTTGTCCATGCCCTCGGTGAGGCCCTCACCGATGATGGCGCACGCCGGCTGGACGTGGTAGGTGGTGGCCGGGATGAGCTCGTGCAGCGCCAACTGCTTCTCGATCTCCGCCACCGGCAGCGACTTGGGCAGGTCCTGCTTGTTGGCGATGACCAGCAGGGGCGTGCCCTGGTTCTCAGCGAACTTGGTCACCTTGTGCAGCTCCGTCTTGGCCTCCTCCAGCCGGTCCACGTCCACCGAGTCCACCACGTAGATGATGCCGTCCGTGCAGCGGCTGTAGGACTTCCACAGCGGCCGCAGCTTCTCCTGGCCGCCCACGTCCCAGAAGTGGCAGCTGATGCCCTTGGCCGTGCCGTTGCTTAGCTTGATCTTCTCGGTGTTGAAGCCGATGGTGGGCACCGTGTTCACGAACTCGTTGAACTTGAGCCGGTACAGCACCGTGGTCTTGCCGGCCGAGTCCAAGCCCAGCATGACGATGTGCAGGGACTGGAAGGCCGAGATGTTGGAGGAGATGTTGCCCATGGCTCTTGGCTGCGGCGCCGGCCACTGC